CTATTTTCCTATTTAGCAGACTACTTGTAGCAGCTGCAGACTACAAAATGTCACCTTTAGCGCAAATAGAATGTCAAATTTTTACATAAGACCTTTTGCATTAACAGTAACGATATAGATAATTTTAGGAGGTTATGATTTGAAACTTTTTAAGCAAAACAATTTACAAAAGTTCCGGTTGTTTAATTTCGACCGACCGTTTTTTAAAAAAGGAAAGAAAGTTTATATATTTGTCAGATTTGTAGCCTGTTAAGAAAATAGAAATAAATCGAGAAGTTAGTTTGTATACCTTATAGATAATTACTTTTAATTTAATATTTATAGCTCTAAAACTAACTCCAAACCATATATTAATAAAATATAAAAAATTGAGAAAATAAAACGATATAGTGAAACGAGTTAATAACAAATAATATTGACGGATTTGTATATATATAAACAAGGTTAGGTTTGGATAGGAGGGGAGGGGTAGTAGAGGGAGAGAAAGAGAAGCTGTTTATTATCAATATTATATGAGAAGTCTAAAGAGAGGGAGAGGGGGGGGGAGGGAGTTGGGAATTAATGTAGCGTTTCCAACCGTGGCCTACGGTTTCTTCTTCGAGCCGACTCTTCTTGAGTCGTTTGTCTTCTTAGAGCGGCAGAAGAACCCTCTCAGTTCTCCCCCCACTCCCTTCCTCACCACGGCTCTCACAGTCTATTAATTAATTATGTAAACATTTTACATTCACTCCCAGCTGCAACTGGTCCACAATTAAAACCAAGCAACAACCTCCACGATTTCTTTATCGGAGGCGGATCATCTCAGATTACTAGCTAAGAATCAACGGAAGCCTACCATCAGGGAAAAAAGTTGTTGACACGTAAGGAAACAAATTAACGGGTCGGGAGGACTAGCAATCAACACCTGAAATCGATCAGATTGTAGATTCCAAACAAAGCCTTTACTCTCTCAAATAGCAGTTACTAGTTTTGTACATTTGTACATTTTTTTCTCATGACTGTGCCAGCACATCTGCTGATTGTCAATAGTTATAATTGACAGGTGCGGATAAATATATGTAATTAACAAAGAATAAAATATTAAAGAAAATGAACATTAGAAATAAATCATATATAAATAAAACTTCTTCTCTACCTCCTTTGTGGCTTTCAGCGTGGAGGTGCCTCGATCCACGAATCAACGGCATTTCGGTCCTGAATTAGAGCTCTCATATTCCTTATCCGCATACCTCTTTTCTGCTTGATTCTTGATGAAAGCGCTCAACTGCTCGGACCAGGGATTGCTCTCGGGCATGCCATCCTCTCTAATTCGAACCAAAGCCGATAATCTAGTGGGTTGAGATCAAGGCTTCCTGAAGGCCAATCCAACGCAGAGATGAACTCTGCTACTTTTGCAGCCCCTGCTGAATTCACCTGGCCTTATGAGCTGAAGTAGAATCCTGACGAAAAATCCTTCCAGCAAACAGAGTATCATTTAGAGGCCTGACAAAATGTTTCAAAATATCGTCCTGATAGTTTTTAGCGGCTGTTTTAACTCCTTTTTCACAAAAAATGGAGCTTTGTGGTGCCATCAAAGAAATCTCCACACCAAACCATCACTGAGGAAGTGTGATGACTTCTTTCTACTCTTCCAATAAATTCCTAGGCTTCCTTAGAGCTGTATGCGTACACACGATCATTTAGGCGATTAAATTTTTCTTCAATTGTAAAAATTTTCTCATCCCTAAATAAGATCTTTCGGTAAAGACCATTGGTGTAACGGCCAAGGAGCACTTTGCATCTATCCACTCTAATTTTAGGGAAGTGGTTAGCCTTTGTCCTGTCATTCTTCGAAATGCACCCATCCTAAGATCACCCTTTTTATTATGCGAGACATGATCTGACAGAGATTCCCATTTTCCAAGACATGATTTGTTCTTTTCGAATGAGATTTCTTCTAAATCGAGCAGCCACTGCTCTTACTGTATTTTTTGCCGTTCTTACAGTGCGGGGACGGCCCGGTCGAGGTCTGTAACGTACAGATAGGGTCTCATTATATTTATTTATAGTGCGGTACACGAAAATACGGCTGATATCCAAAGCTTTCAAAATGTTGAAAATCTTTGCCCAACAATTTCCGACTTTGAGTAAGGCGATCACAGCTATTCAGTTTTATTTATCACCCCACTGCATGTTAACTGAGCTAAAGAAAAATACAAACTAATTGGAATTATTATCCTCGTATGTAAAGAAAATAACCTCATAGAGGTAAGGATTATCTAAATAATACCCAAGGATGTAAACAAGGTCCAACTTTTGTAACAGTACTCATGGCAGAACTAAGTATGTATGTATATATATATATATATATATATATATATATATATATATATATATATATATACATATATACCCGCAGGGACTAGCTGATGTGCAAGGCTAGTGGGGATTAACGCTCCCCCGGTCTCCCGAGTTCATTACACTGCACAACACATACAAAAAACAATACACAATACACATACACTGACACAAGACTACATTCACTACACACCCAAGGGTTACTTTTCCTGGGAGGACCCTGTGGACGAGGATATAAATTGGTTCCAGTCGTCTGGAGGCATCAGGGCCTCAATTACTGGGCCAATCACCCGTAGTGGAGGAAAACTGATTCAGAGCAAACAAACTTGCTTCAGAAATGAACGGACATAAATAAAACAAAACAACAAAATCTTGTAAATAAACTTTCTTAATTTTTTTTTAACATGTAAGGAGAAGATAGGTTTTAGATGGTATTTTGAACGTTGACTAAGGGATAAAAATTCAATATTAAGTAGGTCAAAATGATAAAAAAATTATAAATTTAATCACGTTAAAAAGAGATATTTTATTGCTAAAATTAATTGTGAAAACAGTATCTTGTAATTGAAATATTAATCTGCATTAAATTAATATTAAAAATTATATACGAATTCCACTAACAATGAATAATCATAATGAAGTCATCATAGAAATTTCGATAATATTTTGATGCCAACTTTTAAAAGAAACATTTTTTTTTTTAATTGCTTAATAATGGCGATTTAACAATGAGTATCATATAATAATTGAGCCTTTCAGTTGACAGAATGACTAACTCCAATTTCAACATTTTTAGTGATATTTCTATTGGAAGAATGTATACCTTTATTCGGAGTTCTATATTTCAACACTGCAATAACTCTGGAATAAATGTACTCATTGCCTGTACAGATATAAATTTTCCAACTAGAAATATTATTACAGAAAGCCTCAATTAACAATCAATAGTTTCAGACCCTCAAACGGAATCGAAAGCCATAAACAATCTACAGAATTAGATCAGTTGATTTCTTACGGTTTATATCGTTCTGTGTGTAGTATATACTAAAATTGTAATGGGTAGTTATTAACTTTTGTTAGAGTGATATTAAGAGATGTTTAATATTTTCCAATAAAACATTGGGTTTTTTTTAGACTGATGTACAATACACTAACTTGTTTTATATAAACATGCTCCATAAAGCTCTTCCATCAACCGCTAAATTAAGAGAAGTAAAAACAGCCAATCAGAAGACAATACCTGTTGCCGGTACCCCTACCCCTCTCTTCCCATCGCCCAGATGAAGAGGAGATACGACTATGTAGACTCACCAACGATGTAGAAGACGAAGAACAATAAGCCATAGAGATGTGAATATTATCTGGTCGCGGAAGGGTTGAAGGGCACTAAGCTTCCTTATTAATGGCCCTACAGAACTCAATCTTATCTCTTTCCCTATGACTTAGCTAACCCCTCGTCCTTAGGGCCTTTTCAGCTCCTCTCCCTTCCGATTTATTGCTTTATTGCCTCCTTAACGACCTCTATGCACTCGGTCCATCGCCTTCCAATCTTTTACAATCAAGAAGTAGGGTAATTCAACTTCAATACTTACAGCATTCGGCGAAACTTAGTCTTGTTAATTCAACCAACTTGAACAATTTACAATAAATGTCAGACGGTTGGAAACCGTATTATTTAGTATCCATAAGTATCTAGCATAAATCGGATGGGTCCGATTTTTAATGAAATAATAAAGTATAATATCTGCACCCTACATAATACTGTAGTTTTTTTTCGGCTCTCAGGAGCAATGGATTTTCATGGATGAGCGATCGAATGAAAGAGAATTTCCCGAAGAAGTGGCAAATCCTAATTTCAAAAGTTAAACGTTTACTTTGATTATTAGTTTAGTATTCTTTTGATTATATAATTTTAGTTTTAGTTGCATCATTATACTGCTTAACTTATTTTTATTTAGCTATACATCATAGCTGTGTAATATTGCTGATGGTGTTGCCCGGTCTTGATCAAATCGGTCTTGGTCTTGCAATCTCCAAGACCAAGATCAAGACCGCCTAACTGTTGCAAGACCAAGACCAGTGGTGGTAAAAAAAATAATCGATTTTTTAAATAAAAATTAAGGACAAATAGTTACAAATACTTACCAATCTTAGTTACTATTTATAAATTATTGGTATAACCAATATACTTTTTCATTTAACTCCTCTAATTTTTCATTAGATGGTTTCTCCTATCTAAAAAATTACCATAATATTACCATAAAATTACCATACAGTAATAAGCTAATAAGACAAGACTGTTGTGAGACGTTGTGAGAAGCAAGCCCAAGACAATGACCAAGACTGAATTTGCAATACCAAGACTCGCCTTGGTCTCGCATTTGGGCAACACTAGTTGCTGTGCTACTTTTAAACTGGAGAGATATTTTCCAGTAGAACGAGCTAATTAAGTATATGTCAAAAGTTGAGATAAAGTATGAAACTTCACCAATTGTATGTTGAATGGAATATATTATAACATTATATTGTATATATGAATAAAAATGGTTCGTTGACGTAGCTTATACGTCGAATGCATTGGGGATATATATATATATATATATATATATATATATATATATATATATATATATATATATATAATAAGAGGAGGAATGCGGGGACTACATGGAAGAGAAGCTGCCTCCATTGAAAGAGAAGACCGTGAAATCGGCTGAGGAGATGGAATGACCGAGACCAGCTCGCGCGGCTGCAGTGACCCGCGGGTACTCCGTTACTCCAGCACCTCTTGTGTCGAAGGAATCACCTCTCTTCGGCAAATTAGAGGGATGTCTCCAGTCTGGATCTACACGATGACGCGACAGCACTAATGCCAGACGTAACCACTGAAAAAAAGTGATCGCCACATTGCTATGATTTACTGACTGTGCTTAAATGTGGCAGATAGTTAATATTGACAATAAAAATTTACCCCTCTCAAATAATTTAGACCATTGCCTCATCAATCCGATGAATCAGCAAAACTAATGTATTGAACTATTCAAATTCCACACACTTGGTCTTTGAAGAAACAAGGATGTGGATCTGATATGGAGAGGAAACGATTCCCCTGCAGACCACACCACATCCCCTGGGACCTGGGATCTGGAATCTGGGCACGGCTGAGGAGCAACAGCCTGCTTTGGGGGGAATGGCAAGAGCTACAAATTGCATCTGCATTCGTCATCCATCTAGATCTGATAATATTCAAATATGAGGGGCGGGACCAATCAGACCAAGTCATAATTAAAATTTCATAAATCATTAAAAAATTGACTGAGAAATATAATAGATCACTAGATATGATTCAAAATTTCCTTAGAATGGTTGTGATTAACATAAGAGTAAGGAATAAAAAAAGTATATAAACAATAATAGAAGAATTTAGGCTCACAAAAAATCGAATATGAGCCAATAAAATTTAATTTAAATCTAACGTGATAGGATCGAAAGGTAAATAACGATTCTATAAGATTGGATAAATAACAAATCAAGAAGATAATTATAACTTAAATTGAATTAATTAGTTGATTTAAACGTCCTGTGTTAGGTAAAAAGTTAGTTGGGAGGGTTGTCTTGAACGTGATCTTGTGGATTGGGATTTTATAGAAATTAAATGAAAGAAAGTAATTAGGTCTTCAGCCGTCAGATACAATAAGCCTATTATAATATTCATATGGTAGTAAGATCAACCTCCACATCGTAAAATGACAATAGTTCCTTTATTTTGGTCCTTCGGGCCGGATAAAAAATATAACTTGCAACAGCACTCATCTAGTCTTTAATATGGAACCGACATTTCGGTAGGATATATGTCAAGAGGGATGCGATCAGCTATCAAAATGTTAACTGGCAGTCAATCCCTCTTGATTGTCTGATGTAGGATAAAGTCATTTAGTCGAATCTACGTACCCACAGACAAAATATCCTTTGGAGTATTAAATACATTTTTAAACAATACTTAGCTTTCTGACAACACACAATCAACAAATAATAAAATATATATAAGATGTCTCCGTAAAATTATTCATTAATCGAAACGGTCCAGCGGTTTTCTATTGTCATTATAGTGTAATGAGAAGAAGAGGAAAACGAGAGCATATTACGGCTCAATGGCGGCCTATTGTTGTGGGCGATATTATGGCATCTATAAATAACTACAGGATAACTACGGGCAGCCAGCGAGCTGTAAGCGGGAGGATGAAAAAGTGACGGGAGAGAGAACGGGCCTGGATGACCTCCCGTTCAGCGGCCACGTGACGGGACGGCCATTCATGTCCTCGTCAGCGAGGGAAAAAACGGAGGCCGTGAAGAAGAAGGAGACCTGGCGGTGAATGGGCAGAGGATTTGAATAGGGCGTCCGAAGGAGAGGAGGGGGGACAATGGGCCGCAACCAGGTCGTCGGTTCGATCCACTCTGTTTTAGCCTATCGATATAGATCGATATTTGTGGTGTCGATAGTTCGCTGTTAATTGAAGCCGTGACGGCCGAAAGTGTTGGGAAGTAGTAACCTTAACAAATTCGAGTCTAGGGACGACAGCTCGAAAAAGATTAAAAACTATGGTTGGGATACTAATAAAAATTCCCTAAAAAAAAAAACTTGAATTCCTCAAATAATAAATAACTAACCAGACAAGGTCTCTCCAATTCAGCAACAATTAGGGCAGAAAAAAAAATGAGGTCACATAGGTACATAAAAAAAAAAAACCTGTACCACTACAACCCATGAAGGGTCTTTCTTGGATTCAGTACTACTTGAACGAGATTACGCTCAACCGCCAGGTTTTCCCGTTAATTAATTATTCTAATTAAGTATACCCACTTTATACAGGCTGGGTGTGCCCTAGGAGGGTCTACCTACCCAGGGTCGACCCACGCCCAATAGAACAGAATAAATAATTTATCTGTCATGAGCCGGGATTCCAACCTGGGACCTTTAGCATTGGAAGCTCAGTACACATATGTATATATCAAACATAATATATCTCATTCAAATGGTACGAAAAAGGCAAATGAAATATATTGCATCACTCTAAAAAACTTGAACTGAACAATGATGTGTCACCTCTATTTGGACAGTTTTTTAAAAGTGTTTGATTTTGGATAGCCAAGAATTTTTTTTTGGCTAGAAGATATATGAATTCGCAAAACTGTTACGTTATTTAGATAACTTCACAATCAAAGAAGTTTTTAGGAAATTACCAAAATTATATTCGTATTTTGAATATTTGAATAAATACTATTCTCTAATAACGTTCTTCAGGATAAAAAAAAAAAAAAAAGAAAAATACAATCTTAAACCAATAACTCTACCAATTAGAACTTTAACAATATTTTTCATGATACAGTAAAGGAGCTTCTTCAAGGATATCTTGTCTAATTAAAAAATATATGAATTGACACAGTATCATGTTTGCTAATCCGTAACTTTCTCAAATCTAATCCAAACCATCAAGATGTAATGAAAATATTACCGTGACAAAGACTTTGGCCTCGATAAACCCAGAACATCTTATAATCATAATAATAACAATAGACGAATGTAATAAAGGCCTCGGTCAGACGTAGACATCGTGAAGATATAATGGCTAGGCAAACATGGAATGAGATCTGGGCTGCGGTGGTTGCGGTCAATACGCTGCTACCGGCGTCCACTAACAACTACTTCTGGCTACTGCTCAACGAGTCTTAAATATAACCTTCTGTCCTTATATGTATATTGCAGCCATGTAAATATACACAAATTCATATATAATACAATGGTTAACAAAAACAGCCAAAATATTCTGAATCAAAATGTTTATCCCGAGATGAATGGTGAAACGAGGAGAAACATTATTAACAGGTAACGGTGAGAAGGGTGAAGTAATTACCCACCTTGCCGAAGATTGAAGAGGCGCCGAGGCCTAGCTGTGCCCCAAGCGAAGAGGGGAGGATAACAAAAAATTAGTATTGTGTAAAGAGCTGTGATTGGAAGAAGGAGGCTCATAACGGTAGTCGGCGCTTTTTAACCTAACACTCTACTTCTGCTAAAGTCGTCCATAGGTTAGTTAAATAAATTGATTTACCATTGTCAAGAATTTTGAAGATAATGTCATCTGAAGTCTCAGACAAACATTTTTAAAAGTTTTAAATCCGGTCCGGAGGACCAATATATGCGGCCGTAATTTTCACGAGTTTGAATGTTTACTTTTACTATTTTATATTTTTTTCTAACATATTAATATAATTTATTTTATTTAATTACAATTCTTTCCATCAATATAAAAATAATAAATTTGAATTAATCAAAGACAACCAGGTGAGAAGTGGAGTAATAGAACTACGAGTAATTGCCCAGTGGCAACCTGTTAGATCCTGATATGTTTCTATTTAGAAAAGAAGATCTCTCCTCCGATTTCTTTTCAATTTTCTAGGGATGTTAAACATGTATGTATAAAGTTATGTAGGAACATAACTTACTAAATCAAAAGGTTGCCTATTATAAGCCTTTTAGTTTTAATATTAAAAATCATTAGGTTGGACAAAAGATACCTTAATGTCAGATTGGAAATCATAAAATATGATATAAAGATAAAGAATAAACCTGAGCACTCAGGATAAAAAGAAAACATAAGAGATCAACAGAAAGAAATGATAAATGGAAGAGAAGACAGAAATAACAGATTTCTATTTTATATAGTAAGGATAAACAGAAGGGTAGGCGTATCGAATCGGCAACAGAATGGGCTTCCATTGCGGATTCCTCGAGCTGGCGACACCTTTGTCCCCTCAACGGTTCATTCATCCAAAAGTAGAGTTTACTTCAACAGCGTCACCCGGGCTTGCTTGATTCATGGCTATGTAAGTTAAAAATAAAAGAATTTGGAATTTTGAAGATAATGTCACCAGAATTATCAGACAAACATTTTTTATAGTGTTAAATCCGGCCCGGAGGACCAATATATTGTGGCTATAGGTTTCCCGCTACTGGGAATTTACTTTTACTATTTATTTATTTTTCAACATAATAATAATAATAAGTTTAGGGATGACAGTATGATAAGGAATATAAAATAAACTTATTCCTACTTACTTCAACTGTTGCCAATTAATCCTCTATCAAGTTCAGCTAAATAACTTTATTATAAGTGATGAGTGTTTTCTCTTCCCGAACGACAAATAAAAAAAAAATAATAATAATAAAAAGTAATAAAATAACAAAAAAAAAAATCTTAAAACCGAATGAGCGAGAGAGGAACGGTAGAGGCGTGACTAATCTCGTTAAGAAGAGAACACTAACGGAGATAGCAGATATAAAATAAACTTTCGCCGAGGTTTTGCAGCCGTAGGGGGAGAGGAGGAGGAGACTTCAATTACTGCAATCAATTAAAAGCCAGGAGCCTCCTTAAAGCGGCCGGAAGCAGACGGAAAAAGAAACAGAAAGGACGTCTTTATTCCCAGCTAATGTCCTCTGCGGTGTCGTTAAACAATTTTCTTTATTTATTTTTTATTATTTTTATTTTCAACTATGCAAAGATGATCGTAGGGAAAGGTAGGTTGGGACGAACTGAAAAGAGGCACAAGAAGTAATAATTTCAACTAAAGCTGTAATCAACTGTCATCAGTTCACATTTCTTGATTCTAACTAATACTATTCAGCTACACATAGTATTCGTATTCTGTATATAATTTACTCATACCAAAAAATAATCATAATATTATACACTTTTTTTTCTTCCTCCTGTTGACTAAATAAATCTTGGAATCAACATTTATCTTTCCCTTTCTTAAGCTACTGCTTTCCAGTTAGCTGGATAGAGAGGACGGGATGGCCGAGCACGTTGGGACGTGGGTCCCAGAGTGCCCAGTTCTGAACGTTGTGTGTTCGAATCCCACCTGGGTTGCTTACTTATGATTTCTCGGCGGCAACCTCAAAGGTAGCCAGCCATCAGTGGTTTGCAAAAAGGGCCACGATAAGCCCACTATCCGGACTAGTTTCCCCTCTAGTACCAGTAGCTGGATGGAGCATCTAAGTTGATTTTATCCTATACATTTGTTTTTTGGCTCCCCTATTGTCAACCATAATAGCATTAATTGTGGATGGATTGTTTCGAACTACATCTTAATACAGATATACAGACTGAACAGTTTCTGCAAACAGTTCCTTACTGCTCCTTCGTGCACTTTGGTTACAGAAGGCTCTGGACTTCTCTCTCAAATCTTTCAATAACTCTTCCTTAAGAGTATTCGATAGAGTCCAGATCTGGCAGCCATACATCAATAACTAGATTTATCATAAGACTGTATATCTTAAATTTGAGATTTAAGACTTTTCGTGATTTCAGTAAAAAGACAGAAGAAAGCTCTTGTAATACAATGGTCTACCCATAAAACTAATACGAATTTTTTTAGTGGCGTTTATAATATGAAAAGAAATGGGCTCAATATTAGAGGTCTCAGGATTACTCAGAAGCATCGTCGTACATCGGATCGAACAATGGAATAAATTCTAAAAATCAATTTTTTTTTAACATTTTGATAATTTAAAATTGGTATTGGTCAAATGTACAAAAATTTCAATATCATCTTCTAGGATTAGGAAGTAAGTATATAAGTATATGTTTATAGACAGTAGAACGGTTGAAGCGAGACGTGAAGATCAACTGGAACGAATCAGGTTTCGACCGGCCCACAAAGGTTCACACAACCGCGTATATTTATCAAACTACTACAACCTGCTCCAATACTTGACTAGCCGATATACTTTTCACTAGTAGTGTATACTTAAATATAGTATAAAGAATAAAAGATAAAATTAAAAAACCAATATGTTCAATGTTATCTCGTTTATTTAGTTAAGACCCCTCCTATACACCGCTGGTATAATTTCTGATCAGCCAATATTGTTGCTAACATTAACATTGTTACAAAGTTAGCAAATATTTTTGTAACTAAATGAATCAAAAAGCATTATAAATTTTTCAATGATCGGATGGTTCAATGTGAATATGTTTCTTTAATGAGACTGCCTCTCAAGAAACCTCTTAACCTTGGAAAAATTACAAAAGTAAGTTGGATTTAATTGCTTCGTACAGAATTTAAGTAATCTTGCAAGTACTTGGACAACAGGAACTGCCCTCAATCATTTAGTCGAGGCTACAGTGTGAGGACAGGAATCTCTGTCAAGGCGCCATGAGGGAGTAAGAAAGAGGCAGATAAATTGTGAAATAAAAAGCAATAAAGAAGAGGTGCGGAGAGGAGGGGGAGGGGATGGTGGGGGGGGAGAGAAGATGAAAAAGTGCTTGTGCCAGAGGAGGATGAAACATTTATTGGGGAGCTGCTGGGGTCAGCTACGTGTCCCACATAGTAGGGTCAGTATGTACCACCGCTGCTACCACCTCCTATCATCGAGTATTTATAGCGCTCGTAGCCTTCACTGAGCGGAATATTAACCGATGGCCGGTCATAAATAATAACAATAATACCAAACCAAATGGATAATTCTTACACAATCATACAGACAATAATAAAATTATGAAATGGCGAAACAATAATTAATTTTCTGATTAAAAATAAAATTTGCAAATTCCGTGTCAATCACGCATCAAATTCTTAATGCTAATGTAAAACTCACGACTTCCTCTCCGCCAATCAAGCAAACTTCAGGTGGTTTTTCGATGAATTTACAGAGCCAGTTTAGCAATAAATAAATAAAATAGTAAAAGTAATTCTAGCAAGACCTACAGATCTGAAATCCTTTGAAAAAGCGTTCTAATTCTCTATAAAGTTTTACTTAAACCAATTTGGACTTATGGTATGGAACTGTGGGATTCTGCTAAAACTTTCAATATTAAAAAAATCCAGTCTTTCCAATCCATAACTTTACGAAGGATAGTTTACACACCATTTTATGTCGCAAACGATAGATTACAAAAAGACTTGAAAATCCCGAGAATTTTAGACACCTCAAAAGAAAACTACAATAACTTTCACCAAAGACTAACTTGCAACATAAATCCATTGACAGAAAACCTTAAAAACACTAGAAACCCGTACAGCACACCTTGGCGATTACGTAGGCATTGTCCAAGAGACCTGCTGAACTATTTTCTGTATTGTGATGGGACGCTGTAAAGCTGCCAAAAAATGTTCTCATTGCAAAGAAATTTGCAGATCGCAAATTTAATTATTATGTTCAATTCTATGTTTATATATTAATAAAAAGTGTCCATCATGACTTCATGTTCCGTACCTCGCCAATTTTGAAAGACCAGATACAAATTAGTCCGCAGTACAGGCTCATTTATATAAATTAAACTCGTATAAAACTTCGTGAACGGCGGTAATTCATCGTAATCTAAAACATTTTTACTAGCGAATATTCTAGGAGATAGACGCTTTGAATATAATATATTAAAAACTTTCAACACCCGCTTACTTTTCAATTGAAATGTAGAAAAAAGGTTGCCTAAAAAAATATTGGGCCGTCTGGCAAGACCTCCAACCACAACATAACAAGGTGATAGAGAACAAACGACCCAATATATTTGTAAGCCACCTTATTTCACGATTATACAATCAAATTATAATACGATTCAAGTGGAAGGCGAATGGTCCTTCATGAATTTTTAGTAACCCATTAAATTAAAAAAGTTTATCGATCTCCAGATTGAAACCGTCCCATTATTCATTACAGATGGTATAGATAGCAGGTTTGTAAACGTACTTTGGCTAGATGAGTAAATATCTCGGTAAATATATGGGAAGCAAGTAAATTGTAATATAAGCTACCGAAAATAAGTAATAATATTATAATTCAAGTAATAATAATATAATAGGTTACTTTGAGGATGAGGACAGAGTCAGGATAGATGTTGAGTGAGCCCAGTGTGGCCGTCGGATCTTCCAAATGCCTACCGTCCTCGGTCGACAAGTGTTGGTCGAAAGGTGCTACTCTCAGGCTGTTTAGGATCTGAAAACATACATAAATAATAATTATAATAACAAATTAACGTTAATATAAATTAACAATAACAAACTAATCAAGAGATAGAATATGTTATAAGTTATAAAATGTTAAGTTATAATTTGGAAACATTCCAAACCACTCAAAGCCTTATTGTCTCCAAAATGCAGGCAATGAAAACAAACCTGTCAATTGTGTGGACATAAGGCTGAGTGGTTTGGAATTTTTCCAAATTATAACGTAATAAAATAACGGTATTTTTAGTTTTATGAAATAATAATATTATAATGTACTATGGAACAATAAAGGCCTGATTAATGTCCTAAAACGTACTGTCTTCAGGATAATCCATAATTAATGCTGATAAGATTGCCTCTTAGGTGATAAGATTGCCAACTTTTAACATGTTTAGGTTCCAAAAATTAAAATATTGTTACTTATGGTGGTCTTCGAAGAACCAAAAATCTAATGTTTAGGTGATGGAGGAGAATTCTTTTGAGGTCCTTGGAACACTCCCGATGGTATAGAAAAAATCTTTTTGATTCATACTGTTCATAAATCAGAACACTACAGATCAAAGCTGTTCGGCACCGAATTAATAGGTACAATAATAGATTATTAAGTACAATAATAGATATATTAGATCAATAAGTACAATAATAGATTAATATGATTTCAGAGATAGCTATCTTATTGCTTAATCATTAAACTGGAGCTCTAAGGATTTAATTTTTTTTGGGAGGAGGACCTTCAGCCTGAAAGATTTTTGTAAGGGTATATTTATTAGGATAATTACTTCGGAAAAAGAAAGAAACTAGCTACCTATATGAGATGGTGTTTAAGTGATTTCTTACATCCTATTAAATGTAGACGAACAATAATACTTTTGTTTCATAAAACATACTTATTTTTACCATTTGAGGGGGGGCTTCAGCAAGCAGGAAAGTCCCCCTTCCCCAACCGTAGATCCGTTTGTGAACTGGATAGATATTTTCCAATAGGACAAACTAATCTCCAATTAAGTAAATTGTAACTTTAACAGTCGAGGTTTGTTATTTTACTGATTTCGTGTGTTAAATAGAATAGCTTGATAATATTGTATTCATATTCGTATTGTATTTGTATTAGGGAGAAGGATAGCTTCCTAAAGTGAGAGTTCTCATTGGGGTATACTATTAAAATAATTATGGCAGATATAGTAATCCCTTCTCCAAATGAATGGTAGCTATATGGACGGGAAATACAAATGCCAAAATGGGTTCTTTCTCTAGTTTTTGTTTCTTGTTTTTGTCCTTCCATTTGCTGTCGATTTTCAAGAGAAATTAAATAGAGTCTGGGCAAGCGTTGGTGTAGCTTTTAGACATTTGGTCAATGTTTGTGTTCATTGAAAGATGTTGAATTTGATGGTTTCTGGTATGATTTAAATGAATTTTCTTCATCCGCCCTCTGCTTTTACGATTTTTTTTTCGTTTTCCTTTGCTTACTTTGATTGCATTATAACAGGTTAAGGCAAATGAGATTTCCAACGTCCTCCATGTTTGTTTCACTGGAAATAGAGAAACATCAAAGCACCCCAATTTCTTGTGTTTCTAGTTTATGATTGTTCGTATTTCTGGTGTTTTTTAAAATGTCTAAACTCATCTTTACTTGCACATAAGTGCACCTGCATCCGACTACCTAAGGTCTGCAAGAGTTTTTATTTGAATAGTATTAAAGTTAAAATATTGTAATCCCTTATAACAGTATTAAAAATATAAGCTCCCTTTTTATATAAAATTTCTTCTTTGTCAAGTTAATCATGGATATTTTCCCATTACAAAATCAGATAACAAAAAAAAAATTTGGATAAGGTTTTTCAAGTTTCAGAGTCTGAGTTTGGCGTTACTCCTGGATTTAGTTTAAATAAATAATAATTTCCCATTCTAATATGAGACTTAAAACCTTTAGTTGGTTTATGAAAAGAAATCACTCAAGTACATTTTTGATCGTATTAAACTTTTAAGCAAGTTTTTGTGTATTTTTATTTCATTTATCGATGCAATATAATTAACTAAGGGGGGAAACCTGGCGGTTGAGCATTATCCTGGCCCCATCCCCTCTCTTCATAACCGTAGGCCTTGAAGCAATATTTCCTTAAATAGTACTGAACCCAAGACCCTTCATGGGTTGTGTGGTACAGGTTTCTTATTTTTATATGTTTTTTTTTTGTTTATTTATTTATTTATTTACCGATGCAAAAATTAACGCAGTTGTGTATTGGAGATATTTACACTAATCTTAGCACTTATTTCTTGCGACTCTCAAGCACCTCTGTTTCTTGTATTTCTGGTTTATGTTTGTTCGTATTTCTGGTGTTTTTGAAAATGTCTAAACCCATCTTTACTTGCACTTAAGTGCATCTACATCCGACTACCTAAGATCAGCAAGTGTTTTTATTTAAATAGTATTAAAGTTAAAATATTGTAATCCCTTATAACAGTATAGGTTGTATATCCTAATCAGCGACTGTGCGGAATAAGAAGGAAGCTCACAGTAGCAGAGAAGGCGGGCGGGAAAGTGGACGAGGGAGGAGAGAATGGAGTTGTTATAAATGGAGGCCTGGGATTGGCAGATCCGAGGAATAATTAAATGAAGACCAGAGGAAGCAGGGGGCAAAAACTGTCTTAAAAAGGGGTGGGTCCTGACATATTCCTCCTTGGTCCTTTGTTTTTCCTCCGACCGGGCGTTAATCATAAGCAGCCCCACCGTCCTGACCAACAGCAGGAGATTAACGGTGGGCATTAGTAACACTGTCCAGCGGGCGGGGGCAAAAAGCCTTATCGCGGGCGGCCCCAAGGAGCTGGCCCACGGAGCCCCCCGCTCTAATCAACATAACTAATGAGAGCTCTCCGAATCCTCTATCTTTCTCAGTCATTGGCCATTGGCCACCGATCATAGTCCGGCCCTTTGTATTGTCCTTTCTTACCCCTTTGACCTTTGGCCTCCCACCCTCGACCCCAGGGCACCCTCGTCAGAGAGGGCATTAAAGATAGCAGGGCCTAGATAGTTCAATGGGCCGCCAAGCAATGCAACCATATCAAAAACCACTATTAATAATAGTTCTTTTTTTTATTTTATTTTTTTTTATTCATTGATATTTACAACATGTATTACAAAAAAATAAAACTAGTAAATGTGCACACAGTAATAGTACAATCACATGAAAACGCTTGTTCAGAAACTACCCATTGGCAGTCACACTCAAATGCAAAACACTAATACTAATACTTTCGTAAGATTTGATATTGGGACCCCGAGATGCTCCCGTGCCTCCCATCACTACACTGAGTTAGGGTGGCTCTTCCCCTCCTTAAGAAGACAATATTTCCTAGGCACTTTCCTTTATCAAATCATTACCGATCATCGTCCTTATGCTTACAACCTTCTCCAATTTAAGTCCTCAATCCATTCCCTCACTACAAGATCTCGACCCTCTGACCTATACATCCCTTCTCATAGATCTGCCTCATTCCAAAATTCCTTTATAGCCCGCTCTGTCAACTTTTGGAATACCTCCCGAACAAAATTCGGCATGCTCCCTCCCTATACACATTAAAAAACCTCCTAGTCCAATTCCTGTTCCATAAGCAGTCAGATACCAGCTAACTATAAATACTATTTATGTATTGTGTAGCATTCATATAATCATATGATAATACTTGGTAAGAGACAGTACATGCATTTCCTACTATCGACGTAGGAATTTCGATACATACATTTTTTTTTTCCAATTATAATTAAATGTTTATATATATATATATGCAAGTAAAGTTTTTTTTTTTTTTATGAAATGAACTTATTCAATCTCTTTTTCGTTCTTCATTTCTCAAAGTGTATGTTTATGTTGTTCAACATTTTGTTCAACTCCCAACTTGAAACTATGAACAAAACTATATAGTTCTGTTCATAGTTTCAAGTGATTCCTTCATAGGTTTAAGTGTTTTGTTCCTAGTTTTAAATGCTCTGTACATAGTTTTATCTATTGTATATAGCTCGTTCACATGAGGTTTTCTTTACTTGTTAGTTTATTTTATCAAGTTTATGTATTGTTTCAAACTTTTAGGCCAGTAATATTCTATTCTTTTGTACAATATTGGTATTCTAAAGGGACTTAGTCCCAGAATAAAGTTTTTTTTTTCTATATATCTATCTACTATATTTACATAAGTAGATCAAGATGCCATCTTTTCAGACGCCTCGCAGGATTATCAGGGATCGAGGAGAAAGCAAGGTTTGAAACGAGAGAGTTCGGATGGTTAGTTATGGAAGGATAGGTATCTGGATTGGGCCAAATCGGAAACATATGGAACATTAAGGTCTTTATGGATGATTTTATTTGTGACAAAGTAAGGAGCGTTGAGGATTTTACGAAGGATTTTGGATTGTAAGAATTGGATACGAGAGGAATTCGATGGTTTAGTGGAGCCCCAAAGCTCAATTCCGTAAGTCCAAATAGGTCTTATTATTGTCATATATATATATATATATATATATATATATATATTATATATATATATATTATATATATATATATATATATATATATATATATATATATATATATATATATATATATATGTATGTATGTATATATATGTATATGTATTACTATATACATATATAGTACAAAAGAATAGTCATCAGGGATAATTGGAGAATTATTAAAGGATACTGTAGGATAAGAGGTATTAATAACTGTCAATGAAAAAATAATAAAACTCCATTAATTTAATTTTCGACTTTATAGTACAAATAAAGTCGAATAAAATTGTCTAAACCAGGAGTCTCCAAAAATTTTGAACCGCCGGCCACTTTGAGACCTCCACTAAGTCATATATACTAAGACCTATTTGGAATTACGGAGTTGGGCTATGGGGCTCCACTAAACCATCCAATTCCTCTCGTATCCAATCCTTACAATCCAAAATCCTTCGTAAAATCCTCAATGCTCTCTACTTTGTTACAAATAAAACCATCCATAATGACCTTATTTTGTTTCAGTTTTTCAGATCTGGCCCAATCCAGATACCTATCCTTCCATAATAAACTTCAGAATCATTCCAACCCTCTCGTTTCTAACCTTGTTTCGTCTTCAATCCCTGATAACCCTCTAAGGTGTCTGAAAAGAAGATGGCCCGGTGATCTCGTAATGTAGTCATATCATTAGAGTGCTTTAACTTGGAATAGATAGAATTTTCCGTAATAAATTATACGGCCGTTGATTATCCATCACCAACACATCAGGAAGATAACCAAATTAATTGTTGATAAAATACAACAAAGGGTATTGTAAATTGTTGCTTTTCATGTTCCTCAAGTTAGAAAAGTCATTTTGATAGAATTACGAAAATATTTTTTTATAATTAATTGTGTTATAATGTATAATGTTATTTTATCTTATTTTTTCTTTTAGTTTAGTTTTGTAATTTACTATTATTTTATTGAATTGAAAACTTTAGGCGCGTTTTGCACTTTTTTGTAGAGAGTGAATTAGATTGTGTGTAGTTTCTCAAGAAGCGTTTTCAAGTGATTATATTCTTGTGTACACATTTACTTGATGTATTTATATTGTAATACAGTTGTAAATATCTTGAATAAATAGTTAATAGTTTAAAAAAATATTTTATCTTTCTGCAATGGTTCGTACCATGAGATCCTACGATGATCCTTCGCATAAAAAAAAAACCTCACTGGTTCTAGTTACTGACTAACTACCGGTTTTACGTCCATGTTACTGGTCCATAAAGACGATCGGATGGATTATCGTTTTCTAATGATCGAATACATAAGGATATGACATAACATGGCTTCTGAAACGCTGAGAAAAATCGTAATTTTTTAATATTACAGGCATTAAAATTCATGCGTATCTCGACCTGTAATTAATACAGGACGATATTTACGACCCTGATATATCAGTGTAAAAAAAATTAGGTTTAATGAGTCGAAGCAATAAAAATGTTCAGGCTATCCAATAAAAACCTACAATATAGCGTACGATATTAATTAACATGACATCCTGTTTTATTACAAGCAAAATCTTTATAGCGAAAAAACATTGACTTCCAGAAATAAGGGTTTTCGGGGCTCAGAAACCTTCAGATTATTTTTTTTTTAATCAATACAACCTTCTCATACGATCAATATAGAATATTAAACATATCTTGAATTTACGAAAATTCTTTAAGAAACATAATATAAAATAAATTCGATGAATTTTCTCTCTATGAAATTTACGAAATCTAAGCACATATTGTTAAAATTAGTGCTAAGATTAGTGTAAATATCTCCAATACACAATAACTTATTAGCGATGGTGGCATTCTGATTTCCTTACTGTGTTAATTTTTGCATCGGTAAAAAAAAATAAATAAACAAAAAAAATAAAATAAAAATAAAAAACCTGTACCACTACAACCCATGAAGGGTCTTGGGTTCAGTACTATTTAGGGTAATATTGTTTCAAGCCCTACGGTTATGAAGAGAGGGGATCGGGCCAGGATCATACTCAACCGCCAGGTTTACTTAGTTAATTATATTGCATCGATAAATGAAATAAAAATACACAAAAACGTGCTTAAAAGTTTAATACGATCAAAAATGTACTTGAGTGATTTATTTTCATAAACCAACAGTAGGTTTTAAGTCCCACATTAAAATGGGGAAGTATTGTTTATTTATTTAAACTAAATCCAGGAGTAACGCCAAACTCAGACTCTGAAACTCGACAATTCAATACTATTCAAATAAAAACTCTTGCAGACCTTAGGTAGTCGGATGCAGGTGCACTTATGGGCAAGTAAAGATGAGTTTAGACATTTTAAAAAACACCAGAAATGCGAACAAACATAGACCAGAAACACAAGAAACAGGGATGCTTTGATGTTTCTCTAATTCCAGTAAAACAAACATGGAGGACGTTGGGAATCGCATTTGCCTTAACCTATTATAATTTTATAATGAAATCAAAGTAAGCAAAAGAAAATGAAAAAAAGAAGTATAAAATTCGTTAAAGCAGAAGGCAGATGAAGAAAATTCATTTAAATCGTACTAGGAACCATCAAATTCAACATCTCTCAATGAACACAAACAAATGTTTTAAAGCTACACTAGCGCTTGCCCAAACTACTTTTAATTTCTCTTGAAAAATCGAAAGCAAATGGAAGGGCAAACACAAGATACAAAAACTAGAGAAACAACCCAATTAGGCATTTGTGTTTCCCGTCCATATTTTGTGGAATAAAAAAATATAAATAAAAATTAATTTTTAATCCACTCTTGGATTTGTAAACGTTATCTAAAATAAGAAGTAGAAGCTAAAAGAACCGAAACTATTTATGAAAATATTTATCGGACATACTTATAAATCTAAATATATTTTCCTAATCCGCCATGTTTCTTAGTCATGATGAGGATACTTTTTTTTTTTTTTTTTTATATATTTGGGTTTTATACAACTTAAGGAGTCATATCCCCAACACCCAAAAGCCACTGCTCCCTGTTCATCCAATCTCCTTCACGAAGCCCTCTGGCTGCCATGCTTTCTTCCACGTCCTCTGTCCATTTCTTCCTTGGTCTTCCACGCTTCCTTCTTTCAGGTGGCATATAGTTATAGATTTTCTTTGGCCAGCGGTTCTCATCCATCCGCATTAAGTGGCCATACCACTTTAAACCGTTTGGTCCCGATCAGGTGAAGGATGTTCTTTTGACATCCGACCTTGTCTCTAATAGCTGAGTTTGGGATTGATGAGGATACTGAACTATTTATAAATATGTATTTATAATAAAGCCAATATAGAACAAAGTGTTTAATTTGTTATTCTAGTTTTTAACCATTCTTGGAAAAGACTAGAGGATAACCAAATTAATTGTTGATAAAATTCAACAAAAGGTATTGTAAATTGTTGCTTTACAGGTTACTCAAGTTAGAAAAGTCATTTTGATACAAGCTTTTGATAGAATTAAGAAAATATTTTTTTTATAATTAATTGTGTTATGCTATTTTATCTTATTTTTCTCTTTTAGTTTAGTTTTGT